CTAAGACCTTCCCCATGATAGAGGTCAGGCTGATAGGCCTATAGTTTGCTGGATCCACTTTCCTCCCTTTCTTGAAGATAAACACCACATTGGCCGTCTTCCAATCATCGGGCACTTCACCAGAGTGCCAGGAGCTATTGTAGATCCGTGCCAGGGGCTGAGCTATGATGCTTGCCAGCTCCTTGAGTACCCTTGGGTGTAAACCATCAGGGCCGGCTGACTTGAAGGTGTCCAGCCTATCAAGGTGTTCCTTCACGAGGTCAGCTTCGATGAAGGGTAAGAAATCTCCCTCACCCGGGCCTCCCTGACCCACAGTGGACAGGGGCGTCCCATGGGACTGGTGAAAAACTGATGCAAAGTACCCTTTTAGCAAGTTTGCTTTTTCATGGGCATTGGTTGTCAGTTGTCCCATCTCATTTAGCAGGGGTCCAATGTCTCCCTTGCTTTTCCTCTGGGTCCCCACTATCTAAAAAAGGACTTTTTTTTTATCCTTGATATTTGTAGCTAGCTGGAGTTCCATCGCAGCTTTGGCTTTCCTGGTTTGCTCTCTGCAGGTCTGCACCAGAGCAGAGTATTCCTCCTTGGTGGTGGTTCCCCTCCCCTTTGGGTTGTGGCCCTCTAGGGCCTCACTGGCAAACCTCCTTAGATTGTCAAAATCAGCTTTCCTGAAGTCAAGGATTTCTGTATTACTGACTGACTTGCCAGCTTTATGGCAGATGGCGAAGGTGATCAGCTTGTGGTCACTGTCACCCAGCTTTCCTTCAATCATTAGGTAGCTGATTAGGTCATCTCCAGTTGCCAGTATGAAGTCGAGCAGCGCTTTACCTCTTGTTCGCCCGTAGACTTCCTGCATCATCCACGCGTGAGAGAGAGCTTTGCAACTGCTTGGATTTGGGTGAGCGCTCCTCCCATGAGATGTCTGGGTAGTTAAAGTCTTCCATGACAGCCATGCACCGGGAGCATGTGGCCTCAGCCAATTCCCTGGCAAACTCCTGGTCAAGGTCTTGACCCTGGGTAGGGAGTCTATAGTAGACTCCCACCGTAGTATTCCCTGTGCCATGTTCCCCATGGATTTTAACCCAAAGGGTCTCAAGTCATCCACTGTGGGTGCCAATGTCGGCTTGCAGGGACGCTTGCTTTTCTTGACATAGAGAGCTACACCCCCGCCCCTTTTGTCCACTCTATCTCTCCTGTACAGGGTATAGCCATCTGTGCCTGTGGCCTTGGAGTCCCACCAGGTCTGTTATCCCTATGACATCATAGTTATTTGTGTTTAGCAGGAGGACCAATTTCTCCTGTTTATTCCCCAAGCTCCTGGCAGTTGTGTATAGGCACTCAAGGGTCCCCTTGGGGGCCCTTGCCTTGCCTACAGATTGTTCCAGGCCTGGGGCAGGGGTGGGTTCCCTTAAATGCCTTGGCCTACTGGCTTTGCAAGGGTTGTTCAGTGGGCCAGCAGTGGCAGTAGTCCCCCCATCCCCCAGGAGGCTTAGTTTGGCTGACGTGCTCCACCAGGCTTTAGTCTGGCTGAGAAGAGCCTCCTCCCCAGTGGAGAGAGGTGGAGGCTGTCCCTTCCCAGCAGCTCACTGCCTCTCTCACCAAAGAGCAGACTGTGGTCATGGAAGCCAAAGCCTTCCCGATGACACCAGTGCCACAGTCTTTGGTTCACTACCTGGATCCTCCTCTCCCTCCTCAGCCCAAATCCCGAGACAGGGAGGATTGAAGAAAACACCACTTGTGCCCCCAGATACTTAAGCCCCACTCCCAAATCCCTGTAGCACCTCAGGACCTGGCTGGGTGTGCTCCGAGCCATGTCATTGGTGCCTACATGGATAAGGAGCATGGGATTGTGGTCAGTGGGCTGGAGGAGTGTAGGGATCTTGTCCACAATGTCTCGGATGCGGGCTCCCAAGAAGCAGCAAACTTCCCAGGCTAAGGAGCTGGGGCAGCAGATTACTCCCTCAGTCCCTCTCAGGATGGAGTCTCCCACAACAAACACTTTGCATTTTGTCTTGGGGAGAGTGGGGGCGGTAGCTACAGTAGCGCCTGTGTTGCCTGCAGGAGCTGGCAACTTAGCAGGCTCTGCTGGGACTGCAAGAGGTTCGTACCTGTTGCAAACCTCCAGTGGAGCGGTGGCCTTGGTGCGTCGGGCCTTGGGGCCCTTGACCACCTTGGTCCAACCCCTTGGCTGGACAGAATGGGAGGTCCCCAAGTCCTCCTTTGTCCTGGAGGGAGACTGTGGTCTACCCTCTGCCTCCCGGGGGAGAAGGGCCTGGCAGTAGGAGTCAATCTCCTCCTTTCAGTCCCTGATGGTGCTCAGTCTCTGGACTGCAGCCTGGAGCTCCTCCAGCTGGTGCGCCAGAGACCCCAGTAGGGAGCAGGCCTCACAAGGGGAGGTGGCCATGCTCCTAGGCCCGAGAGTCTGAAAAAGTGACTGGCAGCCCCCCGCAGCCAAGAGCCAGAGGCTTCGTAATTTAATTATATATAATTAAGTAATTAAAATTCTTTAAATGTGTGTACACGTTAATTGGTGAGTAGGTTTACAGGTAAATAAGTTTTATGAAGTTGCTATGATTTGAGATGTATTTGAGATACAGAATCTTGAAAATGTCTCTTGAGACTACTACTAATTGCCTTCAGTTTGTAAAGTCTTGTGAATATCATGACACGTGAAACTATGAAAAACAGTATCCAATATAAATAAAAGAACTGCTGACTTACGACCTCTATTAAAAAAAAATATGTATTTGGATGATATACTTGGGGACCTTATCAGAGCTCTATAAACCTGAAAAATCTGCTTGTTTCTTGTTTCTAGACTACAGCTAGCTTTATGCTGTTGAATGAAAGACTTACTATTTTGATCTCTGATCTCTGAAAGAATAATTTCAACAAATGAAGGAAAAATACACAAACGCAACTGTAGATACAATCAAAGTTATCTGGTAGAAATATCTCACAGACAAATGAAACAGAATCTTTCTGTGTAGTTGTATTATGCTGCACTTGTCATAATTTTAAGTGCTTTACAAGTAACAATTGCCACAATGGATGATGGATTGTGTTCTGACTGCAAGATGGAAATAATAATTTTCTTTTAATCTTAAAGCATTTAAAGATCTTATTGAGCTTTTAGGCAACCTCAGTGCCCATTGGCAATAGCAGAGCAGGCTGCATGTCATCTCCCCTTTATGGGTGATTTGCCATGAGAATGTTATGGTATTCTGATTTTCTCTGTTTAAAAATCACAAATTATCCAGAAAAAAAAAGCAAATTCTCCCATGAAAACCCCCCAAATCCACATTTTCCCATGATTAAAATGAAACACCACTATATATGCACATGCACCCCTCTCGCCACATTACCTGTCCGCCATCCCCCTCCCCTCCCCCGCATGGCCTGGGTCTCATCTCCCTACCCCTACCCAACATGTGGTCTGGTCCCCTCCTTGCCCCCATAGACCTATCTGGAGGCAGTTGCTCTCCACTGCTGTTTGGCTGCTATGTGCATGTGCATGCATGCACATGCATGTGGTGCCCCCTGCCTGCTAGTCCACTTCCTGCTCCCTGCAGCCCTGATCAGCCCCTTGCAGGCTGTAACTCTGCCAGCCTGCAAGGGGAACCCATGATTTCCCGTGTTTTTTCCCTTTAAAGGGGAAATCCAAGATTTTCTCCTTTAGCAGAGAAAAATGTGGATTTTCTCTTTTAAAGGAGAAAAAATGCATTTTTCTGCATTTTCCACAGCAAATAGAAAACCCAGATCCCTACTGATAACCCAGTGGGAAGCCATGCTAGAATAAAAGCAAAACGAACAAAAATGTAGTTACATATTGATAAGATGAGAATTGTGATGGTCTCGCTGAGACAAAGGCCCAAGCCTAACAGAAGAGAGTGATGGCATAGAAGAGTGTTATCTGGCTAGTATCATATCCAGTTGCCTTTCACTTCACAGCCCAGAGGACCAAATGTATCTATTTACAGACTTGGTCAGCTTGAGGCACAAGTCCTTAACAAGGTTCAGAATCATCCCTGGAGCCATAGGAAGATACTGTAAATACTCTGCCACAGTACCCCTGCTGAAATGAGTAGTGTCGCTGAAATCAATGGGCTTGTTACCAGTGAAGGCAAAATACCATTCCACAATGAAAAATATCAGTAGTTTGCTAATCTAAATTTTGTCTGCTTTTGCAAAATATATAACAAAAATAATATTTTCTTTCTAATGGATGTTTTCTATTTGTGTTTTACAGGAGTCCACTTACCATCACATTCAAGAAATAATGCAGCAGCTGTTACGCTCCGTGAACAAGACTGTTATTACAATGGGACGAGACGACCCTTTAATTGTGAGTAATGTTTTTAAAGGTCTTCACCATGCCTCAGAGACTCTAGGTTGCACTTAGGCCTGCTTTCTTATGTTTTTCTATGAATACTGTATTTGCGACAGTCCTTGTTTTTGGTCTCTCTTTTCAGCTGGATATGCAATTTTTGAATGAAGAAGCTGAATTAAGGTTTTTTTTTTGTTTATTTTCTTCTTTCTTTTTATGGTTTTTTTCATATTTTACAATTAGCTTGGGTGTGTACCTGAATACCGCTAGAAGGATTTGGGTTTTTGCTACTGTTGTACTTTTAATCTTTTGCCTTGAAGCCAGTTGCTGTATTCATCCATATTAAAGGAAGACCGCTTCAACTCTTTTGACTCTGTTCTGAAAGTACACAGTTAAAATGAAACTACCTGTTTAAAGTGAAATTATCAGTTGCTTGAGCAGATTGTAGACCCAATTTAATCTACAAGCACAGTTTTCTTCAGGTTAGTTTTGGAGCAATCTTATTTTCCAGAATATTAGGACTTTATAGAATAACTGCCTTTTCTGGCTTGGTTTCTGTTAAAAAAAGATGAAGAGTTCCAGTTCCTCCAGTATAGTACCTGTCTGGTGAACTGCACTTGGACATGCCCACAATGGCTAGGAATATTAGTGAGGAGGTGATATTGTTCTCATGTAGTCCAGGAAATATGTGAAAGGCAAGAATTCTTGTGGGTGGTATCTTTAGTGGACCAATGCCATGGTTGGGAGAGACATAGGCAAGCTTTTGGGTGTCACAATACTCTTCCTCTGGCCTCCCTGAGGAGGGAGCTTTCCAGAGAGGTCTGAGGAAAGGTTGCCTTTGTCTGTCATAACCATGCTATTGGTTCAGTAAAAGATATAACCTGCAAGAGTTCTTGCCTCTGGGGATATTTATCTCATTGCAGGAGGCACTGGACTCCATGCCTGGGGTCAGACTTGGTGACTCTAGGCAAGTGCTAGATCCATATTACGATTCAGTGGCAGACTGCAACTTTTTCTTATTTAAGTATTTGTCTTGTGAGAAGTCCCATTGAATTAAATAGGGCTGGTCTTGAGGGTGTATATTAAGTAAAAGTTTCAGAAGTTGGCCCTTAGTTTGTACATTAGTTGTACGTAACTTAGATTGATCTCCAGCCTCCTAAATATTTACATTCTTCTGCAAAGTAATGAACAGCACTTAATACAGATGTCACTCATAGAGGTATGCAATATTTGGGCTCCAAGGTGTGCAGTATCCTCCTGTTTATTTCCAGGTGAAATTAGGGGTATCTTTTTTTTTTTTTTTAAGTATCTGGGTCCAAGCTACTAGAGAGAGCCCCTCTTTATTTTTAGCCTCATAATGACTGAATTTTGCAAAGGTAAACTTTTCTAACAGTAATTTGATTCAAACATTTTGAGACTTCCTATAGATACAATAGGAGTCTGCAATCTCCAGAAATTACTTCTTCATTAATCCATTAAAATCTAGATTTTTCCCTTCTAAAAGCAGAAGGTAGGTGTCCTCTCCGTATTCAGCCCATTACATCGTGAGTGTAAGACTACAAGGAAGCAATCACAAATTGTTTGTGGTTCACGGTGAATTTTGGTCAGTCAGTGTTGGGTATTGTTTGAACTTTTTTTGTAACATGTCACCAAGCCTTTGGGATTGAGCACATTTCATTGATAAAATAATAAACCTATAATTATTGATGAAATGGTTTGAGTATGACGACTGCTTCCTTGCTTTACTCCTTTATAAAAATTGCATACAAATCCAGATAGCCACATATTTCCAAGTTTTTTGTTTTTGTTTGGATTTGTTTTGTTTCAGTTGCACAAAAGGGATGTTTTAAACCAGAAGATGAGGTTGCTTGGCAGATCCTTACAGGCAGCTTATCTCTAGCATACGGGCAGCATGGGAGGAAGCACCCTGATGCTTGTTTTTAAGATCTACCAGGTATTGTGATGTGTTTATTAGAAGTGGGACTTAACCTTTCAGTACGAAATGGGAGGCTGTGAAAGGCTTTGAGTGTGAGGACAAGCCGTTTATGTTGAATATGAGGGAGAAGAGGGAGGCAGTGTGAGTGTTATGTAACAGACCACGTGTGTAGGTATGCACAGTTGCAGGGGCACCACTATTCATATTGTAATGAAAATTGCAATTAAATGGTTTTATGTGAATTTTTAGGAAATTCAGTCATTTCTAGTGGCTGGTTATGGTGATTATAAAAAATGTACCTCAGAGAGAGAGAATTTTAGAAAAAAAGGACAAAACATTTAAAAAGCTCTTAGTTCAGCTCTTTCTGAAAATATGTGTAACAAGAAATTAATGTCACATAAAGAACTGCAGCAGGAACTTGAAGGGCATGCACATGTGTACGATTGTATGTAATTTTAAAGAAATGACATATTGCTTTCAGAGAGAGAGTTTGGTAACTGTACACAGCTATAGGTACTTTATCAGGCTGTGGATACACATACGTTTAGATCTATTTCTCATGGGGAATGTTTCAAAAAGGCAGCAGCTGTTTACTTTTAATTGCTATATATGGACAAGCCAGGAGCACTATAAATGTAGCAAAACTAACCCTTGATGAATCTACAAATTTTGAGTGGTTTTACTACATTTGAAACAGTTAGAATATAACAGCTGCTGCCATTTTGAAAAGATTCCAAATATACATGTGTCCTTACCCTCAGATAATGCTCAAATATTAGAATTCTCTGAAGGAGGAGCAATTAAAATCAAAGATTAGACAATGCTAATTATTTTTAGTACTCTGTCAGCTAACATGGTCAATGAAACCTTTGCCTTGGCAAAGAATGCAGGATTTGGTTCAGGAATATTGTGGTATAATTTAAATACATGGAAAATAGTTAGTGCAATGTTCAAAAATTGCCCATCACTATTGTGATCCTTGCTATGATAGACTTATACATCCTACAAGAAGGGAGAAACAAAACTGACTAGAAACAGCCACTGTCTCCTGCCTATATCCATGTTTACTGAAATACAAAAAGTAAACCACATGTGGAAAATGGAGACTTTTTTTTCATTGGGATCCAGCCCACCAGGGATGAGTTTGACCCTTTGATTTAATTTTAAAGGGGATGATAGCAACAGTTCAATTTATTTTTAAATTCTGTTTTTTCACTTGAATAAAATGACATTTTCTTTCTAAGACTTTTAAGTGCTCAAATAGCTTGCAGTGTGCATGCAGAGATGATGAATAGCTCACTGTTTAGCTCACAATCAGATTTTTCTTTAAATAACTTTGTTTCTTTTCTGGTCTAACACCTGGGAAAAGGTGAGTCAGATACTGCATACTTACAGTTCTCATTCTTTGAATTAAAGCAAACAGCTAGCCAGCCCTCGTGGCACTTCAGCCCGTATAGCCATGTGTTCCAAAGAACATTTTTAGTGGAAACAGAGAGAAGAGATTCCTTTTGCCTGCTTCCCAAAGCAGGCACAAACCAAGGATAAACCAAGATATCTAACATTATTTGTTTCGTGGAAGAGCAGTGGGATAATTTCAGAAAACTGCTTTTTCTTTTTTTTGGCAATGTTTTGTGAGTGTCATAAATAACTTTAGCTTAAAAACTGGACAGACACAAAAAGATTATAAAAATAATCTTAAATTTATGATTGAAAACTATCCAGAAACTTGACACTTTTGTTCAATAAAAGTCCTTTCCTGGAAAACTGTGTTAATAATGCACCTTGTTCACCCAGTGAAATGTAACACAATGAAAAGCAGGCATTAACTCAGTTTGAGTCATCAGACTTGCATCATTCTATAGACAAAATAGACAAAAGCAATAGGCCGGTAGCCATGGACACAAAGGATGGACAAAAATAAACACATGAAGTATGTAAATAGTATTGTGCTATTTAACCTGAGAACACTGAACTGCTCAATGTGAAAAGCAAAACTTTGGGTCTTTAATCCTAACACACCTTATATTTTAAAACACGTTTGTTGAAAGAGGGGCAGGAAAGCTGAACAAGTTCATTTTTCTATTACTTGGTGAATAGCTTAGTTGTCTGTATATGTTTTGAAGACTAGGCTACCCAACCTATATCTTTTTTTAACAAAAGCAATTATGTAAGCAAAAATATTTTAGTTTTAGCTGTTCAAATCTTTTCTGCCTTTATCATTTGCTTGCTTTGGCCTTCTGTAAGTCTCTTAACCACTGTGTTAATAATTGCTTTTTATAATGTTATACTTTTTATCTTTATAAATTGCTCTGAGATAAATGAATGAGAGTATAAAGTATTATTAAACTCGTCTGTAAGCTACATAATGATGGCTTTCCCAAGTCACTTTTTCATTGCTTTTAGCAAATAAGGATATGGCAGCCTGAGGATATCTTTTATGTCACTGATTTTTGTCATACACCACTTAACATTTGGACTGTTGTACCATTCAGTTTCAACTAGGCAGTTTCAACCTGGATAGTTCAAATCCTGTAAGTTGAAGTCAGAAGGTTCAAATATTTTCTGGACATCATATGTTAGTTGTATTGGAACATGAATGCTTTGAATCTCCCTACTTGCTGTTATGAATCCATAATATATAGTAATGAACTCCTCTACAGATCTTATTATGGATATCCAATTTACCTTGATAACATTTAGAAATGATAGCAGGAGAGTACAAGTCGATATAAACTTTGGTTCTTTCATCCACTTTTATTTGGCTAGGTTTTTAAATAACTTGCATTCAATAAGGGGAGAGGTTGGGGCGTGGGGGGAAGAAAAAGCATAATCTGCTCTGATCCTGATGCATTACAAAGCTAGCTGCCTTGTTTACCTTCAGCATTTTATTCCCGTCTGTCTCTGAAATGTATCCTTGGTTAGGAGTACTCCATTTTCTTGTTGTCATAATTGGTTAATATGCTCTTGAATCTGCTCTCTCAGTTGAGGAAAAACTCAGTATCAGGAGTTTGAAACATTAACTTAACCAGAATCTCTGATTTCTAGAGGCAATTTCTGATGCAGCTTATACAATTCATCACATTATAGAGCTCAAACATATTTGACATGTTTTGGCTATTTCTTAGTTATTTCTACAGCTACTTTGATGTACAGGTATAATTTATGCACTCCACAAGAAGTCTCATAGTTTATCTTCTCCCCTCACCCCCCACCATGTGAAAATAAGGTAATAGTTATACCACAGAGCTATCAGCCAGCTCCTGTTTCCAAGTACACTGAAGACATAAGTGGAAATATTATTATAAATTTATTTCCAGTATCTGACCTAACTAAAAATTTAGCAAAATTTCTTACCACAAAAGAGAATTCATCATATTACAGTTAGTGTATTACATTAACAGTTCAACTAAAAGAAAGTCAAATCATTTGCCAACAGAAAAATGGAAATAGAATAAATTTTACTTACAAGTTATCTCAAACTATTTTACAAACCCTTGCTTTGATTCTAGAACTCTTCATAAGGGCACTTCCATTTTCTCCAAGAGAGAAGTTGTTCTTTATTACTCGTATTTATATTACTGAAGTACTGGAAAGCCATGGCTATGGACCAAGATACCCTTGTGTTTGGTGCAGTACAATACAGAACTCATAGAAGACCCCTGTATAGGAGACATTGTGATCTAAGCTGGAAGTGATTTTAAATGACTGTGGATCCAAGACTAAAATTGTAGAATAGATTCTATTTCTGATACAATAGAGGTGAAAAGTTGTTGGAAGTTGTATTAATCAACTTACGTGCACCATATGTGTCTTAGTCAAATCTTCTATACTGACAGACAGCTTCTTATTCTTTATATGACTGCTGGTTCTGCTGAAGTAAGCTTGATTTTGTTCTGCCATAAGTGACTTACAAAACTGTGAGGAGAATCTTTGGTAAGATGCTGATTCCCAGGGCAGAAAGCACAGCTTGGTTTTCATATTTATGTTAAATACAAACTTGAATGGATTTGATATGAACATACTTATTGTGGAAAAAATTGCTATGAGACAGCATTAATAGGGAATCCTATAGCATCAGTCATGGGAGCTACCTTCTATGTTGACCATAGAATTGTGAGACCATGCTATCCATGAATTTATCATGAGAAAGACAGCAATTTAAGAAAACTTGACAAATATAGAAAAAATATTTATCTTCTCTTTCCATTAATTCCTTTGAATGTAAGCAATAACTCTCCAAATAATCACATAACAAAAGCACATAACATAAGCATAACCTAAACACATAACTTTCTAGAAAATTGTTATCCCAATCTCTATAATGCTTGTACACATTCGGAGTGTAGCTCCAGGCCTGGGAAAACCTAGCTGCTTACCCCAGCCCCAGGACTATGCTGTTCCAACCCCCCATCCCCGGCTCCCTTATTAGGCTATATTTAGCGCCTTCAATCCCCGCCTCCCCTGAAGACCCACTAGGCCCACCTGATCCTGCTGATTCCCCTTGCTCCCTACAGATCCACTGCTTCCCACAATCCCACCTGCCCTTCCTCTACACTGAGTTTCTTATACTGGCTCCCTGCACAGCTCCCAGGGTCAGTGAATGGTTGCACACACTGCTCCTGACAGCAATGAATACCTGCATGCACCCATTCTCAGTCTAGGTATAGGCCATTTCAAGTAAACTGCCTACCTCTAGACTGGGCACAGTGACCTCTTGTTCACACCCGGAGATACCACATTGCTATGTTGAAGAATTAAGATGAGAGCAACCATTTGCAATATTAGAATAACAATAGTATGATATATTTAGGTGAAAAAAAATGAAATGGCAAAAAGGTGCAATTTTTATGCTCAGTTCCCAATCCATAATTGAAATAGTATTCATTTGTTTAGGGACGCTAATGACTGCAAACCCAGTCCTGCAAATCCAATTCCTCTTCCTCTCAAAAACAATATTTTAATTTTTCAACCCTCAAAATGTTTCTTATTAAGACTCACAAAACCTAAGAAAATATGTCAGTTTATTGCAAAAGATAATATCCTTGTAAAACAATTTCTAGAAATTTACAAAACATTACATTTGACTAGTACATTTCATTAAAGAAAGTGTTCTCTATTTGAGCTAGCATAATTATCAAGTGTTGTGACTGTCAGTAGAGCTATACTTTTTTCAGTTACAGAAAAAATAGCTACATCAATATTTTAATATATCTTAGAAGATTCAATTTTTTATTTGTAAAGTTTCTCTTTTAAAAAATTAAAGAGACTCTTTCCATAAAACAAAGTATTGTAGTAGAGTATTTCATGTTCTGTATAGTATTCTACAAAGGATTTAATGTATTTCTCATGTAAGTCTCTCTCTCTCTCTCTCTCATAGCAGCCTGTTATATTTTCCTTACTTGTATTGTGAAACAGGATTGTTTCCTTAAAGAGAATGTAAGTGTGTGTATTTAAAACCCTTATTGGGTTCTAGTTTGTAACACTATCCAGCAGTGCCTTAGTTTTATCTTTGTCTATATATTCCTATTATTAGTCCAACCATACAACCAAGCAGGGTGTATCTTGTGTTTTCAGGACTTCCTTTTCCTGTTTGATGCATTGCAATGAAAAACCATGCATCTCATCACCTTGTAGTTTACATTCTACAATTAGCATGTGGTATTTTAACTAGGTAGTATATTTAGTTTTTAATCAAAATATACATATTTCTCTTGAAGTCTGAACTAAATAGAAAAGTATACAGACATGCTTTTATTTCCCTTTACAACCCCTTTTCTATAACTTCAGATGTAAATCTAGATATAGCTGGTGAATTTCAAGTCTTTCCTTTTTAATGTAAGTGAAATGTATGTAATAAATGGAAGTAGCTGAATATAAATTTTACAGGAAATTGTAACATGATATAATATGCTGAAACTTGTGTACAGTAACTCTACTCATGTAATACTGTACAATTGTATTGCATGAAATCATGCTTGCTAAACTTTTTGGCTTAAGAAAAAGTTTAGTTTTGAATTATGCTTGTTTTCTTACATGTATAGTTATGCTATTTCTTTCCTCTTTTACTGTAAGTTGTATTAATAAATGCCACAGCCTGGAGCAGAAGTTAATCAATTAGTAGCACCAGTTCTCACACTTGCATCTCTAGGTGCAAATGCGCTATTTGGTTTTAGAATCGGTGTTTCTTAGGAATGGGCTGGATGCATCCTTGTAATAAAAATGGTCAAGTGGCTGCTCATGACTCAGCTGATTGTTTACACCATGCATAAGGGTAAAGGAAGTGGAGGTTTTTTAAAGAGTGGCTCTAGTTTGGGCTTGAGGATTCCTTTAGGTAGGGAACAACCAGGCCCAGAGACGATTTTGAGTGAAGATTCATTGCATTGATATAAATTTATGTGGTAGTAAAGCCATAACTCTGCAACACGGTGAGTTTGGACTATAGAGTAGACACACCACATAATTGTAGATGAAGAAAATATATGTGTATCCTCCTTCAGCTGTAATTATGCCAGGCTGCAAGGAGCCACCTGACTAGCTAAGAAATTCTACATTCAATCTTGTATTGTTGGAGCAAAATTTTGCCTTGTGCAGAAGTCTTATTGCTTCACTTACGTTACAGGTTAAGGTGCCCCTTGAATCCAAGGGAGGTCAGTGGGTGTTGGATCCAAGAAAGACATAGGCCTTTGAGTGGACCCTTTGGCTAGGGTTGATTTTCCTCCTATGAAATTAGTTTATTACTGATAGTGCTCATTTTTGATGTATCCGAGAAAACTCTGTTGGGTATGATGAACCAAAATGAAGCAAAGTACTGAGACTTCTTTCTGGTTTCCCTTTTTGAATAAACGTGTCTAAGCTGAACTACTTTGAATCTATGGTCACATTTATGAAATATGTAAAACAAATTATTTTAAAGCTTTTCTCCTCTGAATATCACATTTTTTATATTGGGTGTTAAAAATCTGATAAATCTTAAGCCACTCGATGGGCTTAGTTAGCACCATCACTTTTTTTATTTTATTCATGGAAGTACCCTACCACAAAGGACATTGTTTTCAAAAAATACTTTAATAGAAGAAAAACTGTAGCACATATGACCTTTCTGTATCTCTGCTATACACAGTTTGCATGTGTAGGTATATATATGTAAGTAGAGGGGGTATTTGTGTGACATATGGTAATGTGCTTTAACATACTAAGGGTCAACACTGACTCCAAATTCTTAGGAAAGAGATTTTTGTAGATGGTAGAATTTTACTACTAGAATTTAAAATAATGTTTTTCCTCCAAAAAGTGTCAAGTAAATGGTGTTGTGGATTCATTGCTCCCAGTGACTTGCATAACTAATAGGATTAAATGATTGTAAAGGCTTTTTTTACTTACCAATCCCGCTGACTTTCCTAGGCTCCAAGTCATATTACATACTGCTATTTACTATGCTGCTCTGAATAAAGACCAGCTACAGCTAAACAAGCCACATTTTATGCATGTCATTGGTGATATCTGTTATCTTTTGGCCTTTAGTGTGCTCATACAAATATAATTGATTATCTCTGTTTAATTGGAATTTAGTGAATGATTTTTCTGATGTACAGAAAGGATTAGAAGCAAGCTAGCTGTCTTCCCTAACATGAAACAGCTCATAAGAACAAGAATTAAAATATTCTTGTACCCAAGGAATAAATCTAATAGACAAGGAAATGCTGTTTTAACAAACTATACTTAATTCTCAGAGGAGGACTGCACTGAATACTATTATATAGTGATTTTTCAGAGCTTTAAGACTTGGTTATTAATTTTTCTGTAGAGATTTTTCCATTTATAAATTCTGATCATCTTGCATACTAAATGCTTTTCTTGAGTGCATAAAAATACCCTTTAAATATCTACTGTTGATCGGTTGCCACAGCTATTTAACATATGGATAAATTAACCTTCAGTTCACTTACCTGCATTGATATTAGAGCATCATTGTTTACTGCTGCTTTCACACCACCTGAGCCTCTGACTATATTTTGGGTCAAAGAGACTTGTCTTGAGGCATTCTAATATGCTGTGAAAAACTTGAGATGTGTATTTAGTACAAACAAAGATAGGATTGCTTTATGAAAGATCTCTCGGGAAGGCTATTAATAAATATGCAAAACTGCATTTTAAATAATTGTTAGTTTCTAGATCAAACCAACAAAAACAAGGAATAGTGTCCAGTCCCAAATCTTTTTTGTTTGAAGTCTTGTACAAAGGCAATAAAAATAACTCACTTGAAAGATGAAATAATTTTGTAATAACTTTACCAATGATGAGAACCTATGTTCTAGAAAACTTTTGTCCTACTGAACTCGTGTATCTTTGAAGGCTCGACCAGGAAATGATTATAACCAGTGTTTCTTGTAACTAAGCCAGAGATGGCTATTTTTAGTGCGACTTCCTTAACTTTTACTGCCTTTGCTTTTATCAGTTTAAATCACATCTCCAACATTATTTGCAGGTAGAAAATTTGTATTTACAAAAACTTATGAAAATGTCTTTTGAAACTAATGAAAAAGATTACATCCCCTTTTAGAAAATAGTCTGTTCATATACTTTTATTCACTGAACATATTAAATAAGCAAAATTTATTCTAAGCTTTTCTTTCAATATTAATTGTTATTAAATGTTTAGTTCCCAGCTTTATTTCTCACTAATACACTTTTAAAGCTACTGTCAAACCTCTACATACATTTTTTTTATGCCTCCTGAAATGTAGTTTCAGAGTTGTGTATGTCAGCCGTATGATATTCAAATCCACCAGAAGCATTTCTTTTTCACCTTTTTTGTTTTTCTTCTTAATTCCTGTTTCTCAGGAATTGGATGGTCTGTTGGTAATTTTGGGGGAGGAGCTGTGGTAGGACTTTGCTCTACCTGATCCAGTTTTTTCAAAACCTGATGAAATCTGCCTTCTTGTTGCCTGAAGTCATATTCTACACTATGGAAAACATGCAGAAAAGAAGTTAGTAAATGTACAATTACTAATTATAATAAAGATAGAAATATTGAAAACCTTTTTTGTATTTAACTAAAAAGAATATTTGGTCATTGAAATGGACAGTTTGTATTAGGGAAGTTGACTCAAATGCAAGAAATCATAGTCTATGATGTCTTGAGAAGAGTCCTATCCTCCATCCTTTACTCAAAGAAGACATCTTTACTTACGTGAAGGAAGGATTCTGAGATTGGGCCCAATCAGTTTTTGGCAGGACTATAGTAAATGCACAGATGGGAACATCTATAAAACACTAACCCTGAACCAGTGCTTAATACCATTAGACAACATTTTAATTAATTCCAGTGACAGTTCATATATATGCTTCCTTGTCACATGATGTAAACAAATATAAGTTAAGGCAAACTTGCTTATCTATCAACAGGTAGATACATTTTGTTTGTGTTTTTTAATATTATGTTTATATAATCTGTATATAATGTATATGTTTAAATAACATTGTTTTTCTGGTTACAGTATTAGAAAATCTTGGTAATGAAAATGTGACCTATACCATACGTTTTAGTTATGCTCAGTTTAGTGTAATCCACATGTTTTGCAGGATGAAGAAGCTTCTATTGATGATTCCTTTTTATTACAAAGTAAAATGATCTGTCACATAAAGGACTGTACTCCATTGTTAGTAAATGAATTGTTTTTTTCTTTAATAGGCAGTAAATCCTTAATCTTGCATCAAAGGATGCTGTTCTATTAGGCTACTTCAGCCTACTTTGTTGCTCGAGAGAGATGTCAAGAGTTGACATGCATGCATTAATAATAAACAGATTAACTATAAAATGCAACTACTTGCAGTTACTATATTTATTTATTTGAATAAATAATTTCTGAGTTGGCAGAGCCATGGATTAAAATATTTTGACTACAAAATATTTTTCAAAATAATTGGAATAATTTCATTTTGTTTCCATTATAAGTCCTAACACTCTGTCAATGCTCCCTTGCAGTAGGCATTTATTGAATCAAATGATAACTGTTCCTGCCATAATATAAAATCAAAACACAACAAATTCAGGCAGATAAAATTAAGAGGCAAGAAGTAACAGTAACAATAGTGAAAGTTGTTTCTATAAATTTGTGGTGCCTTTTCTTCCCATTATTCATTTGCTTGCCATTAGGCATATAAGTGCAAACCTGTTCAATGCTGCTTGAGTCCCTGAAAAACAGTACTGCAGAAGAAGGGTGGGTCATCCTCCTCCTCATTGCTTTTTATGACTTACGCCTTCAATTTACCTTTAAGTCTTATTACAAGAATACATGAGTCAACTGCATTTCAGGGACTCTTAGCAGGCTGTAACAGGATCATACTTAGATGCTTATTATATGTATATATGGAACAGGTTATGGCCTTCCAGATTTTAGACCACATGTGTTGTTTAACAGGTTTTATTTTGTAGAAATACAAATAGTGATTCCAGTGGTGTCCTCTTTTCTTTGTTTCCTGATGAGCATAAAGATCCTAAAGATGGTAAAAAGGGTTTGCAATTTTCTGCTCTTTCACATAATTATCTCTGTGACTATTAACAGCTGCAGTGCACAGATTAACAGATTGAGGGCAAGATTACCCACGCTACTACACTTGTTTGCTCTTTTAATAAGTGTACTTTGCATACATACTTTGTAGCAACTAAACCTCTTAAAGCATAGAGTTAAACATCAAATGAGAAAATATGTAAATCTTGGTGCTTCAGTAGCTCCCTCTTCTACATAGCAATAAAGCCATTTATCATTTGTTTTTAGGTATTCTAATTGTAAATAATAGGTTTGGGAAATACGTTGCACTACATATTCAAAATTACTTCAAAAAAAAGTGTAGGATTTTCCAACCTCTTGTTACAGTGACAACCTGTATAGCATGTAAGAGCAGCTATTTAGGCACCAAGATTTACATCTTTCCTCATTTGATTTGTAGCTCCCATTTGATGTTTTCCTCAGCTTGTTGCTCTGAATATCATCTTGAATTGATCCATACTGTCAGTCCTGGCATTTAGTTCTCTAAATAATAGGCTCTAAATAAATTGTTTCCTTGAACTGTGGCCAGCTTGCAAATGTAAGAGCCTCATTAGACAATCCGGTAGAGGCATGATGGGATCTGATGGACAATCCACACAGTTGTGTCTCCTGCCATGCCACAGGCACATGGCAGAAGGCGTGGCTGTGGATTCCAGTATAAGATCCAATCACTCCTTATTGCTGGTGCAGGGAGAGTTTAGGTTTATGATCTCAGGCTCTCCCTGTGCTGGCAAGTGGCAAACTCCCGTGCCTGGGAGTCCTGCAACTAATGAGGCTCATGGCCTTGACAGTGCCCTACAAGTTGCCACATCTGGGAGTGCTGCAGCTGATGAGGCTTGCAACTGTGGCGGTGCCCCATGTATTGCCATTGCTGTGACCCCTGTCAGCCATGGGACTCACAGCTATAGCGCATAGTGCACTGTTGCAGCTGGCCATGCATTCAGTTAATTGCTGGATAAGAATGAGCCACGAAGTTATTGTACATTTTTTGTGGAATAACTCTGTGGCTTCTTCCTTGTTTTATTACACCATTAGTTGATTAATCATGTGGCTGGGTTACAACTTAAGACATGATTAACTGGTTAACCATGTCTTAAGTATAACATGTAGTTGGGGACTGAAGTACAATATACTAATCTGTTTCAAGCTTTTTTTTCCCCACACTACTCCTGATAATGCTAACTGAAGCTAACTGTGCACATTGTTAGTGGAATATACCTGGCTATGTTTTCAGAAAGCATAATCTGCTGAGTTAGTTTCTGATCATTTAAGTATGCCAATTTCTATTAGCTAATTATTGTAGCTTTTTGTTTAAATAGTATAAATTACTTCTAAGGACCCAGGATAGCCTTGGGTCAGAGCAGGCTGCAGGTAGCTGACTTTCAACTTGCTAGTGGAAGAGGAGCCTGGAATCATGATCCTAGGTTCTCCCTGCACTGGCAAATAGAAAGGGTATGATTGAGATCTGATTCTTGATCATAGAATTGTGCCTCCTGATATGCATGTGTGGCTTGACACCAGGTATAGTTGTTGAGATCAGATCCCATTGAGCCTTTAAATGAATGAGTCCCAGGGTCTTGGTGACCTGAAAGCTAAAGAGAAGAAGAAACAGCTGCCTTAAGTATGAACTGTGAAAGATGATAGATCAGATAATTAAATCTTACAAAAATTCTGATGTTAGAAAGAGACAATCTAATAAGAGGTGAATCCTATATAAACTTTTGAAATCTTCACAGGCATGGTTAACTAGTTGATTTTTTAAAAAGCACCTATATAAAGTTGATGTGCCAGGAAACATGGAGATTGTGATAGAAAGCTATTTTAACTTGCAATTACTGGAGGATTAGCTTGCCATCTCTTCAGGAAAAGAAACAAAGGAGCAAATATATATTTTATTTAACTTCAGAAGACAAAACCAATTAATCTAAAGCAGTGGTCTCCAACCTTTAAGTAGGAGATCACCTTTTGGCATTTAAAAGCAACCTAAGATCTACTGTGCCTCACTGCCACCCCTCCTCCCCTTCCCTCCCCCCAGGCCAGCAGGTAAGTCTGTGGGGAGGGAAGGGGGAGCAGATCAAGGCAGAGGAAGAAAAAAATATTTGGGGGCACACCTCCACGGCAGGTAAGTCCAACTTGGCCGGGGCTCCACTCAACTTACCCCTGCTGCTGCCTCTGCGGCACTTTCCCTCACCGCAGGGGCCTTAATCTAGCCCCCGCCCCTTCCCTACCCCATGGACTGACCTGCTGGCCTGGTGTGCATGCATGTATGCATGCACACGGGCACTCAGCCCTCTACCCCAGCCTTGGATTGACTCCAAGAGACTCTGAGATCTACCAGTGGATCGAGATCCACTGGTTGGTGACCACTGATCTAAAGTGTGAATGTATAATTTGGGCTGTACTTCAGGAAACCAAATAAATGTTACTGTTACCATTCAGTGCTTCAGTCACAAATCATTGAGAATTTCTCTTATTTTAAGGTAATTCATAATCTGGATGTTGCAAAATAAAGTGCAAAAATTGATGTTTGTACAGTATCAGAAAACTTTGTACAGTGGCTCAAGATGCCAAAATTACGATTTGCAGAATCATTAACTGAGAAGCAGTTAACAAACTGATAACTTTCCACATGAATATTTTTCTGTAGTCTGTAGTATATTTTGGTTCATCTGGTTTTCTGCTGATCTGACTAACACTCATTCACCTATGCCAAATAAGAATAACTTCTTCAAGAAATAGAAAATACTGCTAAGTCCACTTCAAGATTTGTTGCAAACGTTGGTGTTTTATATAAGCAATAAAAGACGGCACTGTGAGTGTAGGACTTTTATCACTAAATCAGGCATAGTCATCATTAACATTCATAATTTGCCATTGGAGTTTTGTTTTATAAGGTCTGTTTTAAATTAGCACAAATACATCTGCTCTGTTTCAAACTTCTTAGTCCACTAAACTGTAGAGTGATTTGAGTGAGGAAGATAGCATTATGTTCCCAAAGCTCTGAAGGACAGATCATTTTGTTTCTGCATAACATGCCAAAACAAAGCATTGCAGCACATGGTAAATTTTTATATGCTTATTCCTCTTCTATCTCGCCAAGTTTAAACATGAATTAATTAACAGTACTGACATTTTAAATGTAATTAGACTGTACAGTTCAGAATAGTAGCAGAATTGACCACTCTTAATTATTCACGCCATGTGACATTGCTTTGTCGACTTGTCACTTGGTTCCAATTCTGAAGATTCTTCCCAAAGATAAGGGCTAGACACTTTTTTAAATGAAAGCTTAAATTTTGGAACATGGGTTTAAGGTCAAAGATGCTACCAAGCCTCATGGCCCTATATTTGTCTGCTTTTGGCTTCCTTGACCAAATGATCATTTATAGCTGCATTGACTAGGGGCAGAATTC